CTGTCTTGTCGTAGTTTTTTCCTGACCTCCAATGTGTGACAGGTGGTTGGAGAGGGCCACTGGTATCTCTCACTTTTTTATATTTTCCATCTGTGGTTTTTGTCGTACTTTTTCCAAGCACTGAATAACCTTTCAATGCTGATGTGTTTCTCTTTACCCTAACAGTGTGGTGTGGTCTAGTGGTTAGTGGGTGGTTGGTGAGTCTCTTGTGTGGTTTACTTCTTCTTTCCTATCAAATATCTATCGTCCTGGTCTCTCCTCGTTCTTTTTTGTGTTTGTTATTTTCTTGTAACACCTCTTATCTTCGGCACTTTTATGACGTTATCGTAAAACTCCTACTAAAACTAAACTTACTCCTACAGTGCTGCACGGTATCGATAGTCTAGAGGTTAGGATGCTGGACTTGCAGTGATAAGGCTGCGGGTTCTAGTCCCTTCATGGGCCCACAGTTTGTGCAGAGGGATGAGACTTTGCTCAAACTGTTCTCATTTGTGAGGCAGCATGGTGAAATCAGGCACTCGTCAAAATAAGGAAACTGAAGAAACTGGCATTTTCCCGTAGGTTTGGGGAATTTTTATTGAATTTTTATTTTTTGGCTCAACATCTTTCATGTTCATTTAAGAACACATTCCTGTGTGCACAGCACTGAAAGGTGTTGATTAAAGGCACAGAAGGTGTTAATGTTCTGTTACCACGGACTCTCAAGCTAAGGAAATAACTTATCTTCGGCAACCATTAATTTTCTCACTAATTTTCCCCCTGAAACCAAGTGACCTCTACCTCCTTCAATCGTAAATATCTCGACTTGTATTCAAAGTAACTGGATATATTTTTCGTCAAAGGCAAGACAATTAATGAACTACCTTTAAGGTGACAGCAATAACTTGACATGCCCAAAAATTGACAAGCGCCTGATTCCACTGCGTCGTGACACATTGTAGCCTAGGCAAGAGTCCGCGACCAGCAAAAGACAGGGACAGGTCGTGTCGGTTTGAGCACGACCTGTGAAACAGTAGCTTGTCCCGAGCGTTTCCAAGGAGACGACAAATGTTCCAGAACGTTGAAGGGTCTCTACACAACAGCAGCAGCAGATGGTCGCTTTTAAAGACAAGTAGGCTGACCCACATCGGGGGTTTCCAGAAGTCTTGACCTATACCAAAAGTTGGCATTGCCCTACCTATAGGAGAAGTTTGGTTTTATTGATTTGATGTGTATATATTTGTTTGGTTATTGAGAAAACTCTCCTTGTCTTGTAAAGAAAGTGAAAAGGGGCCAAAAATTTAATCTTCGATGTTCTCAAAGGCTGATCTACAACAGGGAACTGCTGCTTTTTCTGTCTTACTCCTTACTATTGTCATTTTCCTCTATTTCTTTTGTATGTTTGTCACAATCTTGTGACCCGCTATTTCCGGGGTGCCTTGATAATCGAAGCAGACTGTGCTGTTGAAGCTAGAGGGGTGAGCAGAGTAAGCCTGATTCCTTCTCTCTCTCTCTCTCTCTCTCTCTCTCTCTCTCTCTCTT